ATCTTTACCTGCTGAAGATGATTTTCCGTACACCATACGTGTTGAGAGTACAATCACTGAAAGCAATGGCTCCTCAAGGTTAGTTGATTTGAGTGTTTTTATGCTTCCAAAACATCTAAACTGTACTATCTTTGTTCATTTTATTGTCAATAATTTTGAGAACTCTTTTAAAGATCTATTCATTTTTTAATATTTGCTAGTTTTTTCATGTTAGCATGGCATCCGTTTGTGGGGGTTCATTGGCTCTGCAGGATGCTGGAGTTCCAATTAAGTGTCCAATTGCTGGAATAGCAATGGGTTTGGTTAATGATACAAAGGAATTTGGGGGAGATGGAACTCCACTTATTCTGTCTGACATAACAGGATCCGAGGATGCTTCTGGAGATATGGATTTCAAGGTATTATTTTAAAGCTTTAGTTGATTTTTGACTCAAAACAAGATTCCCATATCTATAAAAATGTTACAACCAATGCTACTAACTCCAAAAATTATGCATAAAATTGGTGTTTTACAGGTAGCTGGTAATGAAACGGGCATAACAGCGTTTCAGATGGATATAAAGGTATGCTATTCTTAGATTTTATCCCAGTTTCTTACTGATTTGGCAATTATTGTGTCATTTGCTATAATATGTTCATTTGATAGGCTTCAAAAGTCCTTGTGAAGATAAGAATCTGTGTTGATTTGATAGGTGGGAGGCATTACTATACCCATTATGAGAGAGGCGCTCCTGCAAGCAAAGGATGGCCGTAAACATATTCTTGGTTAGTAATTTTCTTTCCATTTGATCGTATATTTTCTCAACAGGCTCCCTTCCTAATATCATGATCTTCACTAACTATACCAAAAGGTCCTCTTCCTTAATCATTTAAGGGACAAATTGCCTTAAGTGATATGCAGCCAGTCTCTTTAGTTACCTTCCTTGGAACTAACCTCCTTTCATCAATGGAATTATTCTCCTCTCCTTCAGTTACTTCAATCCCTCCCACTTTCTTACTGCCAACCCCACCAGCTATATCAATGCACTCTCATTAGATTGGACCAAGCCACCCTCAAATCTATTTTTGTAACTGTTCAAGTTCACCACTTGCAGATATTGTCCTCTTTGGACTTCTCCTCAAGGTTTTTAAAACGCGTCTGCTAGGGAGAGATTTCCACACCCCTTATAAAGAATGCTTCATTCTCCTCCCCACCTCCCCTTCAGGGCCCAACGTCCTCGCTGGCACTCGTTCCCTTCTCCCATCGATGTAGGACCCCCCCAATCCACCCTGTCGGGCCTAGAGTCCTTGCTGGCACATTGCCTCGTGTCCACCCCCTTTATGATTCAGCCTCCTCGCTGGCACATCGCCTGGTGTCTGGCTCTGATACCATTTGTAACAATCCAAGTTCACCGCTAGCAGATATTGTCATTTTTAGGCTTTCCCTTTCGAGCTTCCCTTCAAGGTTTTTAAAAAGCGTTGGCTAGGGAGAGGTTTCCACACCCCTTATAAAGAATGCTTCGTTCTCTTCCCCAATCGATGTGGGATCTCACAATTTTCTTGTTGTTTCCACTTTTCTTCGTCCGCTTCACTATTTTCTAACCATTTAGCTTGGTCCAATCAAATGAGAGTGCCGGTTAGATTGTATTGATCAACAAAGGTGGTGGACATGAAATGGATAGTCTCAACAGTATCTAAGGTATTTTAATTGTCTGACCTTCTAATCACCAATTTATGGTGATCGATGACATTGGTAAGTTGGTAAAGTTCTATGATTTTCTTGAAGTGTATGATATATCTAATGTATGTTTTCAATTGACAGCTGAAATGTTGAAGTCTTCTCCTCCTCCTTCGAAAAGGCTTTCACAGTATGCTCCATTGATTCATATCATGAAGGTTTGTCCACTGCCCATATCAAATTGTTGAATTTCCTTCACATCTTTGATGTAATTTATTGTGTATCATGTGATAATAATAGAAGTATAAGAAGAAATACAATACTCTTATAATGATAATAAAATTTGAAATTTACTGCTTCTCTCATTTCTGATTCTTTGATAGGTTCTACCTGAAAAAATAAACCTAATCATTGGTTCTGGCGGAAAAAAGGTGAAGAGCATAATAGAGGAAACACGAGTCGAGGCTATTGACACTCAAGACGATGGGACTGTATGTTCAGATAAATTTCATTTGTTAGCTAACTTAGCCGGCTGTGACTTTTGACTGCAATTTTGATATCTTTTGCTTTTGTAGGTTAAAATTACTGCAAATGATTTGTCAAGCTTGGAAAAATGCAAAGCTATTATTAGCAATCTGACAATGGTTCCAACTATTGGTGATATCTATAGGTAATTACTGTTCTAAATAATTCTTTACACTGTTTTCCTTTCAAGGAAGGTGCATAAGTAAGGACTTCTAGTTGGGACACATTACTATTTTTGGTGTAGTCTAAACATTGAAGGAGAGAATTCTCTAAGACGGGTTCGAATAATAATGTAATCGTTTTGGACTTGAGAGCTTAATGGAAAAATTTATAAAGACAATTGGAAATCGTATGTTACCTTGAAACATTGTTTCTACAAATCTCCTGCTTTACAAAGTTCTTGTATACAGAGCTTCGTCCTGATTAATATATCAATTGCTGCTGTGTCCTCTGTACTAAACATTTGCTAGTTTCTTCAAACAAAACTATTGGAGTATGACCTCGGACTTTTTCCTTCTTTTTCCTTCCAGGAACTGTGAGATCAAGACAATTGCTGCTTATGGTGTTTTTGTTGAGATAGCACCTGGACGAGAGGTATCGTTGACGCCTTATTTCCCTTTTCCTTTCATGTTATGAAAACTAGATGGTCCCTTTACTTGTGTCTCTTGTAAGTTTTCATACAGGGACTTTGCCATATTAGTGAGCTGAGCTCAGATTGGTTGGCAAAGGCAGAAGATGTAAGCACATTTTTTCTTCGGTTCGACCCTTTTGTCAATGTTTTCTGTCAAAAGTTCTATACTCTAAAGATAAAAAGCTTTTCTGTGGCAGGTTGTTAAAGTTGGAGACAAAATCGATGTCAAAGTCATTGAGGTTAGAGTCTATGCCCTTGCCACTGTTCTGAGATTGTATGAATTGATTGTTTGCATGTTAGAACTTTTGTAGGCTTCACCCACTAGTTTTAATTTCTTTAAAGAAAGTTTTTGCTGATGGGACAGTATTGTACCTATTTAGTGTTAAGAGTATTTTGTTGATGACAACGGTGGAGTGTTAGAGTATTTTTATTGTTCGGTCATATCATATAGGTCCAAGTTGGACGTTCAATTGCTTCGATTTGAATTATCCGGAGGATTCCCTACTATTATATCAAAAAGATCAAAAAGATCAAAAAGATCAAAAAGATGGAAAATCAAACTTATTTCTCAATTCTATAGAAGCCCAAAGAGATGAATAGGGTCCCAAATAAGGAGAGATATGTAAAAAACAGGTCCGTACGCCTATTCCTAATCCATTCCTAATCCTAAATGGATTGTAATGACGGAGGGATCCATATGTAAACATAGTATCTATTTAAATACCTTTTCATAGTTAGAATGTATATAACCTAGCCCTATTTCGGTTTGGCCCGATATAGAATGAACTTATAATCATGAAATCGACTCGATCATCAGATTATAGATTATAAGTTCCCAATGATACAGGTAAATGAAAAGGGTCAGCTCCGCCTTAGCCGTCGAGCGTTGCTTCCAGAGGCTGACCGGGATTCCAGTTCAAAGGATAACACAGGCAACCCCTCCAGAAACAAGGCTGCAATGCAGAAGGGCCCTGATAAAAGTACCTCTAAGATAGCTGGTAAGGAGAACATGGAACAGAGTAATGTGCAGAAAGGTGTTCTTGCACCAATTGGTAGTTCATCGGAGGACGCTGCAAAACTGCAGAAGAAGTTCATACGGAAAGAAGCGACTGCAACGAAAGACAGACCTATAAACAAAGAGAAGACAAAAAGCACAAGCAGTTGAGTTCTTAGTAGTATCTCCAACACCAAACTTTGTGAATGAAAAGGATGAATTCAGATTGGTATATTAATGGTGTTGTGCACAAAACTGTATGTTAGTGTTCATTCTGCAGCAAGAGGATTGGTGGTACAAGTGCCTCACAACTTGAAAATTACCAAGGTGAATCTGCTTGTCCTTCCCAATATGTTTTTTCCTTGCTACATCTGCTACCAAGTTCTTAGCTGTGCTATTGTAAATCTTAAATATGGTCGACAACTTCGTAGTGTAATTCTTGTCGGTTCTCGAACTTATTTGGCTGTTTGGAAATTCTTCCAGGACAACAAAAATTGTGGTTTTCCCCCCATTGAATCCTTGATACAAATGTCCAGAAATGCAGCAGTAGCAGGAGAAAAACAAGGAGCAAAGCACTGGTGAGCTGCTGCTGAGTAGAAAGAAGATGGTCTCAGAAGTCCTACTTTTTGGTCGGAACTGCAGGGAATATATTTGTTCATACGAAGACTACTTTCATGAACTTTCATGTACTTTCATGTACATTACGTTTCAAAAGGAGCCTTTGTGGTTTCTGAAGCTTGAAAATGGTATTCAATGATCTCTAAATCCTTGATGATGTGTAAATTTTGGTAATTGGATTGTTGAGATGGCTCTTTTTTCTTCTCTCTCACTTCCTCCATGGGCCAAACTGTCGTTGTTGTTTACCATTGTGCTTGTCGTTTGTTGCCACGTCGCTTTCTGTTGTCATCTACCACTCGTTGCCCGTCATCATGTCATGCCTCGGATCAAGGGAACAAAGGATTGTTCCCCTGATCTACTCTAGATTTGTGGATGAAAATTATTCCAAATTTAGGAGAGTAAACGAGTTCTAATCAATGGGTTTTGAGAACGTAAAATCGAGAATAGTAAACTCGAAATGTAGTTATTTTTAAAAATTTTAAGGACTAAAAGACATTTTAAAAGTTCTAACATATGCCATTAAGAACATGGAGGAGAAGACAACGACAAAAGTTATGTTGCTATCCATTGAGCTATGTTCGAGATGGCAAAAGTTACTAGTATCACTATCAGTGCTACTATCCATTGAGCTATGCTCGGGAAGCCAATAGTTTCTAATATCACTATCAGTGCTGCTAGAGCTATGTTCGGGAGGGCAAAAGTTACTAGGCATAACTAACTATCTAAAATGAAGTATAATACGAGGAGAAATGAACACAAACTACTCTCAATTCCTTTCCTTCCCGTTCCCTTTCTATTCTCACTCATGAAACTATGTATTTTCTGAAGGCAAAGTTCCCAAACAGCAAGAACTACCACAGAAGCATTTCAAACCTTCAGGATTTACTCTAATATCACCATAACTAAATGTAAGCTCTTCATCTTTTGATATGCTTCGTGAAGCGTAGAAACAAAGGCGAGGCAACATAACGCCTGTGCTTCTCACCAGTCTCGTTACTAGATTACCTCCGTCACAAGAGTGATTTACGAACCGCCCGACATTCCCAATCCAGGTCGCATCGATGTTTGTTCGCAAACAAGCATTTCCAGATGGAAGGTGCTCCCTCACAACGAGAAGAGATGAAGTGAAACGTCCACCTTTAGCACGAGCATCATATATTTTCTGCCGCCTTCTTGATTCTCCGGTGGTCAAAAGTTCACCTTTTGGATGCAAAGATTAGTCGCAGCAAGTTTAGAGATCTTCAATGCATTGAAGAACATTATTTCAATCACATGGTGTGTACTCTAAAACCTTAAACCAGTACTCACTTACATGAACCACAAATCTGATCAACAAACATCATCTACATATTTTTCCCAGAAAGCAAACAGTTTTCATCTATTTAAGTGCCCTTGAGTAATTACCCTCATAAACAAATCAATGGAGAAGGAATCCAATCGACTCATATAGAAGCAATTTTGTGGACTAATATGAACTACTCCTCACTTTGCAGACTTTTACGCTCCACGAAACTGGAAAACATTCTTTCAGTTTCAATAGGGTTTGCAAACTTTCAATATACAAACTAATTTTGATGAAATTAACTTATTCTATGTACATACTAGGTATATGAGTAGTTTTCTTAAACATTAGTTCAAGATTCAAACAATGAGACCTAATTCTTCTATTAGCTTAAGAGAGATTTTGTTTAGCTCATAGTTGGACCAAGAACACTGGTTCACTAGAAAACCAATGAAACGTAAGAAATATGTACATATATTTTGGGACTTGACTAAAATATAATCTTATAAGTTGAAACTCACTTCTTCAATATGCAAATTGAAAAGTAGATGAGCAGTTCCTTAAGCATTAATTCAGGACTTCAACTAAGAATATGTGTATTTTCATGGCGTAATATGGACTGATTACCGAGGGGATTCAAGGACTGTATGCAACCTTTAACTCTAATGTTCATAATAAATTCAGCCACTCAACCAGATTAAGGCAGAAAGGGAAGAACAACTATGCAAAATCGTAACGAATTCCACAAAATGAACATCAAAATGTACCTGCATACTCACAAATGAACGTCCCTTTTTTAATCAACTCGTCTGCGTACAAACCCCATCCTTTCTTCTCATCTCTCGAAATTTTCAATCGAACACAAATTCCTCTCTGAGTCAACCGATTTTCACACTCCAGCCCACAAGAACATCGTGGTCCGCACTCGGTAGCAACATCCTCCAACCCATCCAAGCTCGAACAGGGGCATTGAAACTCATACTCCCCGCAATTTTCGCAATCGCATCCAGATACATCGCCGCCCAAATCATCGACCAAACTCATCGATTCGCTCCCAACATGACTCGACTGTGAATCAGAAATTGAACCCCAGCATTGGCGTTCGATACGGTGATCGGGGATAATGCTCGTGGGGGTGTAGATGAAGAAGGCGTAAGGGCAATCGTTGATTGAAGGGTGGAATGGGATGGGGATGTTCTCGATTGATCTAGAAGCGTCGAGAATCCGGCGAAGAGTGATGGATTTGGAAGTGGCATTGAGGAACTTGCAGGAGAGAGAAATGCTCGCAAGCTCAAGGGAGGTCAGCCATGGAAGGACGAGGTGAGCGCAATGAAGGAGACCACTCGTAAGATCTTCTTCTTCGGCTTCACTGGTTTTCAAGCACTTTTTTGATCCGGCTTGCGGCATCTGGCGATCGAACTCCCGCTCTATCGGACACCATCACCCTTTATACATGCTTACAAATTATTTATTAAAAAAATGCTAAATAAATAAAAATGGTCTAAAAAATACTCTTTCAAAAATAAAAATGAATCGAGAAAAGAAACGTGGAGATGCGGGTATCGTTCCACGTTGCGAGCACTCTACCATCTGAGCTACACCCCCTTTAATAAATAAAGGATGATTTTAAAAAAAAAAACGACCGAAAATTTGATTTTTGTTGAAAGTTAATGACTTCAGAGACCCGTATCTCTTACATGCTAAACAAGTACTATACCTGCATCCTCTTTAATAAATAAATGACAATTTAAGAAAAAACAAACAAACATTTGACTTTTGTTGAAAGTTACGTCTTTAGAGACATTAATTAATTCATTGTTTTTTGAAAAAGAAATGACATCATGGAGATGCAGGGTATCGATTCTCATATCTCTCACATGCTAAGCAAGCGCTCTACCATCTAAGTTATATCCCATTTGATAAATTAACAATAATTTGGAAAAATACGACCGAGCATTTGATTTTTGTTGAAAGTTATGATTTTAAAGACATTAATTCATTACTTTAATAGGAAAATAATACATTAATCTTCGTTGCTTTAAGTGAATAATTTCCGCTTTAATTTCTGCAAAAATAAATAAAATTTTTCACTGTGACAGATTTAAATAGGTGGAAATAGGGAACATACCAAATATAAAATTACTCGTGAACGTACATTAATCTTTGTTACTCTCAGCGAAAAATCTTGACATTAATTTCTACAAAAATAAATAATTTTTTTTACAGAAATTAGATTTAAATAGGAGGTGGAGACGGGAAACATACCATATATAAATTTACTTGTGAATGTACGTTCGAAGAATCTTTGCATTAATTTCTGCAAAAATAAAAAAATTTCAGCGAAAAATCTTTGCATAAATTTCTGTAAAAATAAATGAAAAAATTTGTAGCAATGCATATTTAAATTGGAGGCGGTGACAGGAAACATACCATATATAAAATTACTCGTGAATGTACATTAATTTCCGTTACTCTTAACGAAAAATCTTTGCATTAATTTCTACAAAAGTAATAAATTTTTTTACGGAGTATATTTTTACATTAATTTTCATAATTCTTAGTAAAGAAATATATGCGTTAATTTTTATAAAAATAAATAAAAAATTTCACAGAGTATATTTAAATAGGAGGTGGGGACCACATAAAAGGCTTCTCCATCCTTTCCCCATTTAGTTGACATCAGTTGAGTTATACTTAAATCGGTAAATGTATAGATTTTTTTTTATGAGTTAGGAAATAAAATTTATTTAGACAAAAAAAAAAAAAAAAAAAAAAAA